ATTTATAAAGAAAAATATTTTAGAAGATTTAAAGATCATCCATGCAAAAAAGTATAAAGTGTACAACCATTAATAAAATGACCAAGTAGCTGGTGACAGATATATCTGTGTATCAGAAATCAGATTTATGAGAATATTTAACAGCATGATCAATACCCATATTATATTAGGCAAGAATAAAGAAGGTAACAAAACAGTATTTATAATATAATCCCATGCTATAAAAATTATTTTCTATTTTAAGTCAAAAAATAAACTGTGTGTGGTGGTGCACTCCTATAATCGCAGCACTTGGGAGGCTGAGGCAGGATTACTGCTATGAGTTCGAAGACAGCCTCGGCTCCATAGTGAATTCAAGGCCAGTCTGAACTACACAGTAAGACTCTGTCTTTAAAAGAAAAAAAAATAGGAGACAATGCAACAAAAATTTAACAGTGGATCGTGCCAGATATTAGATTTGTTGGTGACTTTTACTTCTTTCTGTATTCTTTCTCTGTATTTTCTACAATAAACATGTCTCGCCTATATAAACAGGAAAAAATTTAAAACATTTTTTAATCTAACTTTCAGGCCTGGGTACAGATTAAATAATGTATGGAAAATCTCTGCAATGAAGTCTGACACACAGTAACCACTCAGACAGCATTTGTTATTGTTGCCAGAGTATGGAGTTAAGTCTTTATATTGTGGGCAGAAACCCATTTTCCAGGTTTGAACCTATATACTTCCTGTATAATCAAAACAGGCTATACGCAATAGTTTTTCTTGCAATAGCTCCTTTACTCATTCACTCAAAAAGTACACTCAGCATCAGGTTTAGCACAGAGCCAAGTTCTGGGGATTCCAAAAATGAAAAGATGACATCTCTGCCTTCAGGGAACTCTGGCTAAGAAGTGACAAGTACATTTATAAATATGATATCAAATAATCATTTTTAATAAGGATAAAACAAGGTGCAATAGGAACCAATATGAAGAAAGCCTTTTAAGAGGAGATATTCTTTGAGTTGTAAAGGGGAGGACATTGGTGGAAATAGAATGTGCAAAGATGAAATGTAAAGAAGTATAAAAATTTCCCAGAACTATAGATAATTCAGTATTGCAGGGACATAAAGAACAAGGGAGAAGTGGTAGGAAATAAGACTGAACAAGTAGATCACTAAAGGTCTCGCCTGTCACACAAAGGAGTCCGAATTTTATCCAGTAGGGAAACCCCTGAAAAGAATTTTAAGCTGAGGAGTGACTTGATCAGCACTACCAAAGACAACCAGGAATCCTGAAAGACATCTTAATCCCCACTTATTTCCAGGCCAAAGGAAAAGGCTCCACCCTCTAGGTTTGTCCTCTCTTAAATAAACATGAGGTAATAAACAGAACTCTGCATCTGGCACACAGTAAATATTCAATAAAGATCAGTTAAACGTGAATTTGGATGTGCTACATGAGTGCAGTCCCTGCCTAAGGCAGCACCGAAACCTTTACTTTGATTGATTCGGAGCAAGATAACAGGATCAGCTCCATTGAAAAGGGCTAATGATCACTCAGAGTTCTAGAATTTAATATACAACAGGAAGAAAGTGCCATGTTTTGTTTTATTGTACTCCAGTGTACAAATCCCCCTGATGGTTATCTTTCCATAGCTGGGATTTAAATCCCAATAATGGGATAATACTACAGTTTTATTTCACATACTAACCTCTGGAATTCTGGGTGACAGGTGCTAATTCACACACATGGTTAACTGGAGGAAATTCATTAGTGGTTTTACTCCTGTTGTTTTACCCAATATCCCTTCTGCTTAATTCAATTTAGTTGGATGGTGCTGCAGATAAGTAATATAAAAATAAAATATCACTGCATTTCTGCCTCCATTATTGAATGCATGCAAAACAAATTACTTTACAGTCAGAAGAATGTATCTGACATTTTATAGGTAAAGACAATGAGACTCACAGAGGCAAAGCAACTTGCCCAAGGCCACTCTGATAGTATGTTGCAAAGAAATTCACATTTTTTAAACTCAGATATCTCAAAAATGCAACAGTGCCTCCCCTAAAGACAGTGTCTGACGCAAAACAAAACTGCTACAATACAAAAATGATACTTTCTTTGTAGCTGGAAAGGAAAGGGTTTTTAAATATCACACACACACACACACACACGCACACACACACATGCACGCACGCACTTGCGCCGCGTATAAATATTAGATCTAACAGAAAGAGGAGAAATCCGAGGCCAATGTTAGCTAGGCCCAGGTCTACAAGAAGAGAGAGAAAGCTGGGTGTGGGGTGGGGACTAGAATTAAGAGGAGAGTAGTTTCAGAGCAGGATTCTAAAACATAGCTGAGAAAAGGACACGACAAGTGAATATACCTGGCCACTGCACGCTGTCCAGCTTGGTTTGCCCTGCTTACCTGCCATGAAACCAGTCCTGGCACATGTCACACTCGATCATGAAGCGGGTCACATCGTAAGGCAGCCGGCAGAGGCAATACACAGGCACCGAGGCCATCTTCACCGGGCCTTGGAGCGTTCTGCGGCGGGCCAGGATCGTGGTGTCAAGAGGAACGAGACAGCAGCACGCGTCCTCTCTGGACGATGGCTGGACGCAAACAACACTTTTTACAGAGTGAATTACCCCACCCACACCACCACTCCCCCACCCCACCCCCCGCGCGCGCACCAACCCTCAGTTCTCAAATAGGGAGTTACCGCCGCCAGGATGCAACACAGCTGGTGCGGCTGTAGGGGGCAACCAGAGAAAAGTCCACCCTGCCTTTAGAATTTCTTTCACACGGAAAGAACGTTCCGCGCTCTGCTTCTGAGCACCCCCCCCATCCGCCCCCGACCTTCTTCAGCCCCAAAGTCAGTGATAACTTCTTTCCGGGTTTCATGGAAACATTTAAAGCCTTTCAGAAAGCGTCTTTAATCCCTAGCTGAGCGCTCTCCTTGCAAGCCTCCCTCTTCCTAGCGCTCCAGGTTCCCTTCATGAATGACGCAAACCACAGCAGCGTAACGAATAAGGCTGGGGATACCTCAGGAACAGACCCTTGAATCATCCCTCCAAAGAGGGGCAACCAGATGGAAAGGGTATCCTTACAGTCTGCTCAAGCTACTTGAAAATTACCTCGAAGCCTTCACGAAGAAGGCAGACAAGCCCAGGCGCCCAACTCAATCACAGTTGTGGGGTCGCGTTTGGAGAGTGTAAATGATCCTTGCCGTCACTCCCAATAACATTCCTTCCCCGACCAGTCATCACCCTCAAAAACTGAAATAAATCTCAATTTCAAAACTCCAGTTTGTCCTTTACCTCAAAGATGACAAGGTTCTCCTCGCAACCCTGAAACTAAAAAGGATACCTACCTTCTAGTCCTACATAACTGACTAGAATTTCCTCACATTCCTGAAACTCAGCAAATGGAGAGCAAAGATTTCTTTTTTTCGCCGCTCGAAAACTGGCAGGCATTTCTTTACAGCCTCCTCAAACTGCGCGAGCTCCCCAGTACCCCCAAACTGACAGAGATCTCATGCTAGATCCTGAAATTGACAGGAATGTCCTCCTCGCCGCCCCTGAAACTTACCAGGATCTCTTTACTTCTCCACCTGACAGGAACCTCTTTACGCCTCAAGCCTGACAAGAATGTCCTCGGTCCCAAATCCTACAGGGACCTCCTCATGCCCAGGTGTGCAGGGTCTGCTCAGACCCACGGACGTCGGTCCCGGCGACACGCCGGCGGCCGGGTTCGCTCCGGGG